ACCACATACAAGTGGTTGTATTAAAGAATTTTTACTTAAACGGTACAAGGGCTATCATTGTACTGTTTTGTATGTAGTTGTAATAGATACTCAAGGGCGTCCCTTTTGTCAGGTTATTTCCGATATATTCATAAGAGGCTAATTTTTGGAGGATAGCTTCGCACAGCTAGGCTCCCGGCCAATAGCTCACATGATCATACCACTCTTGATCTTGAACCATACCCTTGTCTTGGGTTCGTCCCACAGTCCTTTAAGTTGTTTTATTATACGTAAACGAAGTATAGAATGATGAAACTATATATGCCAAGCATTAACGTTCCTCGAAAAGGAGGTGATCAGTTTCAAAATTGAAGCAAGTCGCCCATTGCCACTGAACTACAACAAACATATAAGATTTTTGAATATACATAAGTTATAGTAAACGTTTTACGTTATAAAAGTATCACAATAAGTTGATAAGACATCTCTAATGTCTTAACAAACTTTTAGGGTGTGTTTGGTTTGCGGGATTGGAATGGATTTGGGGGGATTTGGATTTGAAATCCATTCCAATCCTGTGTTTGGTTTGTARGAATGGTAGGATTTCAAATCCAATGATTCATTTAAAATCCCGTGAACAATGGATTTCAAAATCCTTAGAAAATACATGGGATTTCAAAATCCCATCCCCGTGGGATTTCAAAATCCCATCCCCGTGGGATTTCATCGTCTCCATCTTCTCGTCTCCATCTTCTCCCGATCGATTGCTTCACCCATCGCTTCCCTCCCATACGCCTCCCGCTTCCTTCACCCATCGCTTCCCTCCCATCGATTGCTTCACCCACGCCTCCCGCTTCCTTCACGGCTACGCTTCCCTCCCATCGATTGCTTCACCCACGCCTCCCGCTTCCTTCCCGTCGCGTCCCTTGCGAAGCTGTGCCCTAGGTTTGCCTCCTCACCGGTGCTGTCTTCCTCGTCGGTGCTGTCTTCCTCGCCGGTGCTGTCTTCCTCGCCGGTGCTGTCTTCCTTCCCGTCGCGTCCCTTGCGAAGCTGTGCCCTAGGTTTGCCTCCTCGCCGGTGTTGTCTTCCTCGCCGGTGCTGTCTTCCTTCCTGTTTGCCGGCGTCTCCCATCACTCAGCAGGTAATCGATTAACCCCTTTTCTATAGCATTAGAAATGCTCGATTCTGGTCTGCTTGAATAGAAAATGCACAAGGGTTCTGCCCTAATTTCCTGTAATCAAATCCAAATCCTACAAACCAAACACATGAATGGATTTTAAATCCAATCCAATCCAAATCCCATGGAATCCAAATCCCTCAAGGAATCCAAATCCCTCAGAAACATTCCCGCAAACCAAACGCACCCTTAGAATACTTTTGAAATAAACCTATTAACCTTTTTCATATGACAACTTTGAGAAGTGTTATAATGGCACATATTTTTAAAGGACATTTGCTTTATAAGACATCTTTTCAAATAATATAATATAAAATGTTAATAGAATTTTTTTTTTTTAAAATATTCTAAAAACGTTTGCTAGGATGTTCATTGAAATCCTATAATATAAAGTATTCTATAGGATATTTACACATATTTAACGTCCTATAGATCCGCTTTTATTATATTGTATTACGCCCACTGAATTAAAATTAAACATAATAAGATGGGGAAAAGTTAAGAAAACCCAACAAACTCTCTCATTTTGAATGATTAAGTTCTTTAACTATTTTTTTGAATGAAAAAACTATTAAATTTTCTCATTTTGAATGTTCTTGAACTATATTTTTGAATGAAAAAACCATTAAACTTTATTATTTTGAATGATTAAGTACCTGAACATTTTTTTCATTAAGTTAAACCATCGAATTTTGTTTTTCATTTCATTTTCCATTTGTTGAGATCCATGTGTCACTTTAGTTGCTTAAAATTTTAATTGAAACAATATTTTTCCTTTAATTTTTGGTTTCACATTTATTAATTAATTACTAGTGATCAAGTTTATAGATTTATAAGAGTTACACTTTTTAGGCTCCTTAGCCCGTGGGCAAGCCCGACCCGTTTATATGACGGACAATGACAAGTTGTCAAGCTCGAAAAAAATGACTTGGATTTACAATATTAGGCTCGGCTCGAGATTCAAGTGCCACAAAAACAAGAAAAGTGTATGTATATATCGAAAATATTATCAAATCAAGTAAATATACTAACTTGAAATCAACGATTGATGAACGATTATGTAGAGGCCTGCAATACAATGTCCTTAAACAGAATTTCGCCCCCATTCGTACAATAGCATCAAAGGTCAGTTTAGAGGAACAAATCTACTCGAGTTCTTGCACGAGATCTCAAATATGTCGAGTTTATTACGTGTTCATAGATTACACATACTTTTGGCTTCTAGAGGGAGAAAGTATTATATATTAGCACAAAGTGGGTTTGTAGAGAGGGGGGGGGGGGGGGGTTTACTACAAACACAAAAAAAAAATTCAATTCTAGTTTTGTATGTTTATCGAAAACAAAGAGTTACATATTTGTTGTATAAACCAGGAAGGTAAAACTTGATACTAAACAATTTGACTGGTGATAAATTTACTAACAACTGAAAGAATGAGAGGAGAATGAACTCTTTTAGATCTGAAATACTGAGATAGTCCTTAGATGATTGACGCTAATTTTTCATAAGAAATTATCACTCAAAATTCCTTTCAAAACAAGTGAGTAACAAATGACAAGGATGACATTTTAGGGCCATCAATGCTTAAGGGGGTGTTTATGATTGCTTGTTTAAAGTGTTCATTGACTTATTTCGGTGTGGTACCAGTGATGAGCAATTTTTAGTGTTTGGATGGAAAAACAAAAAGGGTGCTTATACCGGTGTCAAACCGATAATAATGAATTACTTTCATCTAACTTATCAGAAACAACTTATTAGCTTTGAAAACCAAATTACATTTTTAATCTTTTCTTTTAACCCTTTAACTCACCCCTTGAGACCACCGACAACCATGTCCTCAGGCTTCCTTGGCGGTCATCCAAACTACTCAACATCAACACCCACATCACGATCTATGAGATTAGCGACATGTTCATGAGAGCAGTGAATCGATCTATGAGAGTAGCGAATCAACTTTAATTTCTGTTTTAGGGTTGGATTTGGAGGGTTCAGATTTAAGAGCTTGATTCAGAAAACTGATTTGAATCACAGATTCCGCCTAGATTACAAGACTTGGTGAGGAAGAAATCGATGTTGGGAAGATATGAGAAATGGAAAGGGATCGAGATCTGTTGTTGTGGGAGGATTTTGGCACCGTTGTCCTTCCTCATCGATGGTGTCAGGTTGTTTCTTCTTTCTGGCACCTCTGCTCTTCCTCATCGTAGCCATTCTGCTCCTTTCCGTCACTTTTTGGAAGAATGTCCTTTTGGTCATTTACATGGATAAGCAAAATTTGCCGAACACTAAAAATTAACTTATTACGTTTTGGTACCATTATAAGCTAATCCAAACACTTTTTTATAAAATTTCGGTTTGACACTACATAAGTTGACAAGCACTTCTAAAAAAAGCATATGTTATTTTGAATAAGCAATTCCAAACATCCCCTAAATGTTGTTGTCCAACTTTAGCACGTGTCTTGATCTGATTTGTTGACCAATATATGCTTGTACTCCTCATTTCAGCCTTTCAAGTTGATGTAGAAATTTGTTAACCCAACCTATCCTTCTGTATGAAGAGGGAACAATAAAAGAAGTATGATATTAACAAAATAGTACTTTAGAACTTAATTTGTTTGATACGTCGAGCATGTTCCAATATCAAGATGAGAGTTGGTAGAGTTGGTGAGCCAAACATTCTAGATAAGTTTGCACTCAAATTTCGGCTTTGCCAGAAGTAGTATTTATCATACTATTTTTGACTGTATCTTATATTGATCTTCTTTCGACTAGATAACAATCCAATCCGCTTTAGTGACGATCTTGACGTCACTTCAACTAGTTTTCGATTTCTTGAAGATTTCTGGTTCTTGGATCAACACAGATAAGTACAAACTTTTACATGAGAAAGATACTTGTTTATCTTTCTGAATTATATGCTATAAATGCCGCTAATGCGTAACACATTGAGTTGGGCAAATCACTGGTATGGCTATCGAAATCGTGAGCATCAGCATGTAGATCTCTCGAAAAGTATTTAGTGCGCATTTCGGAAAGATTCCAACTAGACTATTTATAAAGTGAAATATTCGAATGATATACATAGACTTAGAGGACTTTAAGTTTTATGGAAATCAAGACTGAGCAAACATGTGATATGTTCAATTTATCTTCTTGACTTCAAAAGATGAAATATCAAATTGGATATATATTTTTTTTGAAGTATATATATAATATTTATACACGGCAAATAGAACAAATAAACTCACACACCCTCCTCATCTTTGGTAAGGTTTTGAACCCTTGACCTCCTAGAAAGCCAATGACTCACATACCGCTAGGCCAAAGGCCCTTTGGTAATTGGATATTTGATCCCAATTCATTTCTAAGATGTAAATCCGAATATGATTCTGACTATTGAAATCTGAGTTCTTAAAATGAGATCCAAACATTGGAATCGAACCATAAGAATTGAGTGCCGATATCAATACTCTTTATTAGATCCGATTTGAATGTTGTACTTCGGATATAACTTGTTACAAGGCAACAAATAAGAATTCTTCCAAGTGTTGGACCAAATATATCTTCCGATGGTTGAGACCAACAAATAGCAACACCCATATGTCGAGAATCGAGATCATCGCTTCTTCGTTATGAGATGTATTAAGATATGAATAGGAATAAATTGAACTCTTTGATTATTCCAATAAGAAATGGACTTGTAGACTGAAGTTATAACATATCATATCTAAATCTAAAGTGAAATGTACTACTATGGTTCTTGCTCTCCTCCATCAAGTTGAAGATCATACTCTTTCCTAATCCTCGAAGATCGATCGTCGTAATTGCTCGACTTTTATTTCGAAGATCATTTAGAGCTTGAACTTCTGTCTCTTTGGGAAGATGAAAGTATAGCATCAATGGCATCTTTTACTTGTGAAAGCTCAGGTGGTTTTCCACCTTGCACTGGCCAGAACTCATCAGTTGCCAACACCTTCAAGAATAAAGTAAAAAATATTCAGAAATATAATTATCTGCGGGCATTTAATATTCATTTTTTTTTTTTTTTTGGAAAAAAGAGTATTTTATACATATATTATTAGCTTTCTTACCTTCACTTGCAGCTGAAGGAACTTGACATAACTAATGGCTTTCTCTAACATGGTAACCAAATCAACCTGAAGCCACATTGTTAATTACATAAACATCATAAAGATTGATAAATTTTAAAATGGTATATAATTAATATCATATACTTGTCAAATACGCCATCTGAGATAATATATTACCTTGGAACCGTTTGGCACCAGATCCTGAAGAACTTTTAGCCGCTCGCTGATTCGTTCTCTTCGATTCTGTTACGAACACAAACATTCCAATATAATTCTCATATTTGATCTGTTTCTTGCTTAAATTTCAAGTGATCAAGGGTTATTAATTAAGTAATATACATATATATATATATATAGTATAATTACTTGGGACAGAAGAAATTTGATTTCATTTTCGGGGAGATTAAGGTAAAATTATATAGTTACCTTGGCTGCAATACTTTGTGGATCCTTGGGTTGAGTTGACTTTTGCTTAGTCTTCTTTGTTGCAATACTGTTGGCGTTACATTGTTTCTTGAATGCTTGCTCACTCTCTCCCTGTAAAGCATTGATTTTAAGTTCCAAATTTGAGCTCAAGATCAATAATGGAATCTTGAAAAGGAATTAAACACGAAATTAAGATAAACAAAAAAAAAAAAAAAGAAGAAGAATTTAATTACCGAATGAGTTCGCTTATGGAAAGATGATTGATGATCTTGTGTTGCAAGATGATCATTAGAGGAAGGATTTGGCCATGAAAATGATTCTAATTCCTCATTGTGACTATTTTCTTTGATAGTAGTAGTACCACCACTTTGAATGCAGTTCATATTTTCCAACAATCGGAAGCTATCGAAAGAACCAGACCCTAGATTCATCAGCTGATCAGGGCTCAAAGTACTCGAATAGGGTTGTTCATCGTTAATTTCTTCAAAACTAAGGAAACATGAGCCTTTACTACCACCTTGCATGAAATTGTTATCGTAGTAGCCAGGCTTGAAGCTTATAACCGAATGACCTTCTTCTGGTTGTTGTTGTTGTTGATGAGGATTTGTGGTGGTCCGGTAAAGAAACCCACCGGAATTTGTAGCACTTCCCGGACTAGAAAGAGAAGACGAATTAGATGAACTTCCAGCAAAATGCCCTTTCTTTTCTGGGCTTTCAGTACTCTCTTCAAATTCTCCATTAATGGCTGCAGTACTTCCATAGAATGTGTAAGATTGATGAACTAAGCCAGACATATTATTAGGGTTTCTCTCTTAATTAGTATGAATTGAAATGAAGGGTGAGATATGAAGAAAGGGTGAGCATGTGGTTATGGATTTATATGGGTTTGAAAAAGGGTTCTTGCCGGTGCTTCTGACCAATGGAAGTAAATGAGAGAGGTGAGCTTCATGAAAGAAATTGTATTCTATATGGATTGTTTGCTGGCAGAGGTAGAGAGATAAGTGCGTGAAAAATGAAAAAAGAAGACGAATTATGAGAAGAAAACAGCAAAAGGGTCGCCGGATTGTTCGCAAAACCCACGTCTATGAGATTCCACACCACCCCCATTTGCTTTAATTCCATTGTCATTAGACTTATGGCACCAATTCTAACATATTTTTGTACCATGGATATCATCTTATTTTGGAAATATATTGTTTACCTCTTTGTGATAAGTTGTTTCAAAAATATAATCTTTTATACAAATGTATCACAAGTCTAATATATATATATATATATATATATATATATATATATATATATATATTAGTACAAAAAAGCTTAAATTAATAAAAAGAGTTGAGAAGATATGAATAAATGATTCATATCTAGAAAATTTGTAAAATTAAAAGTGGGTTCATATATATGTACATACTATATCATAAAATATTTGATAAAAACTTTTAAAAATTATTTTTTATACATGAAGTACTCTTTATTGATACATATTATTTAAAATTCAAGATTACAAGTAAATTGTACATAAGTACAACTTATTAAGTTTCATGTTTGAATTCGTATAACTAACTGTAGATAAAAATAATCAAATATATGATAAAATTATTATTTTAAATATTAAATTAAAAACATAATTAGGATAATTGAGTTCTAATAGGAAAACCTGGTTATTATCTTTATAAAAAATAAATTACTTCGTCATTAAACCTAAATTAAATTATAAAATAAAAAATTGAATTAAAGAAATTACACAAAAAAAAGAGCTTTTATATATTTTTTTAATTTTTATGATATCCTCAAATTTATATTTTATTAAGAAAAAAACATTATTATTTGCTCAAAACCATATAAATCCGTATTATAGCATCAACAGAGACAAAAAAAAAACAATAAAATCGAGATATATCTCGCTGCATTGCACGAGTAACTTTCTAGTATATATATATGCATATACTTATGCTTCTTCGTATGTGAATAATTGATAAAAATGTAGGCAAACAAACTTAGGTCTACATATGCATATTTAAAATTGATTTAACTATGATTCACATATGAATTACTTCTAAATTAATATTTTTTTACCATATCATTTTTATATGGCATCGTAAAACCGTTTCACAACCAAACATATTCCATGATATATCTTTAGTATATAGATTAGCATCATTTATAATCACAAGGTTAACTATTCAGAATAACACTTTATATAAATCAATTGTATTTCCATGTCATGTCATTTTTAATGTTTTCATAACCATTTTAAACTTTTTTAGGGTTAAAACAATCTTTTTAGAAACCATCAATAATCAAAAGTATATTTTGGTTATAGCTTGAGATTTTATTCTTATTTTAGAGATACTAAAATGGTACTCACGCAATACAGCTTGATATATCTCGATTTAATGTTTTGTTTTATTATTTTTTTTCATCGATGTTATAATTCGGTTTTATGTGGTTTTGAGAAAACGGTAATGTTTTTATGTTTAAAAAAATATAAATTCGAAGATCTCATAAAAAAGTGAAGTTATATCGATATTAATATCAATTAAATTAACTATTTAAAAGTTCTTATTTCTTATGTGATTTGTTTAATTCAATTTGTTTATTATAATTTAATTTAGATCTAATATAGAAGTAAATTATCTTCGGTTTGATAATACAATTTTAGATTTTAATAGTAGATAATTTTTTAGAGAAAAAAATTAAGACATACTATAAAATGAACAACCAATTATTTCTCACATATTTTCTCATCCAGTATAATTAATTAAATATGTTTGAGCCCAAATATAATGCTTAATATTTTTTGGATCATATCAGAAACTAAAAAAACTTGTATCCTTTTTATTTATTGATATTTTTGAACTATACTATATAGTATATGTGGAAAAACATTAGGCACCTATTTCTTATGGTCCTTGGGCTTACGTCCGGCCCGCCCTTTCCCGGGAACGGCCCTGTTTTCAGTGTCCACATGTATTCAGTATAAATAACGAAGGACATTCAATATGAATAATGAAGGTAAATGTTCATAAACTATTCATGATGCATAATACATGATCATGATCCATGTTAAATTAATTCACCATTCATGATGAATAATACACACGCATTCATCATGAATGATACATTATTCATGATGAATAACCTGTGAATACGTGAGACATGTGTCATGCTCTTCGTTATCCCCCGGTTCATAAGTGAAAATTTGGTTTTCATTTGAACATGCCCCTATGTATGTATGTATGTATGTATGTATGTATGTATGTATGTATGTATGTATGTATGTATGTATGTATGTGTGTGTGTGTGTATGTATGTATGTATGTATGTATGTATGTATGTATGTATGTATGTATGTATGTATGTATGTATGTATGTATGTATG